AAAAATAAAGAAGAACCTCTAAACAGAGTGCTTTCATGTACTGTATTATTTATTTTGAGACAAATACAATGGACACACCAAACAGCTTAGTATTATAAGGTGAAAAGCTGCAGGTGATATCTTAAAAGTGAAGACAAAGTACACACTTTTCCCCGGGCCTTTTTATTCACACTGAAACAAACATTACTCTTTGCAGAAAGAAGAGAGACTTGAAAAGCATTTATAAATAAAGCTGGTGAGAAACTAAGGCTAATGAGGAGGGATGCCAAAAACTCAATCAACTCAGTCGGTTTGACAACCACAAAAATCATTCAGCAGGTGGCAGAAGACATCATAAAAATTGTTGCTAAGTATCCTATAAAAAATTACCATAGTTTCCCAATTTTAAGCCATCATCAGTTGCAACATACGCCAATGACTTAGTAAACAACTTTCCTGGGAAAAATAAAACACTAATACGCTGGATACTGATATTCATTCTAATAATTAATAACTCTAGTAAATAATAATTCTAATATGCATGCTTAATTCTGAAATTTTACAACAGGATGAAAAGTGCATGAGCAATTTTTTTCAGTTTGCAAACAATATGTCATGATGCCATGTAGTCATGACTTTATTTTTCCAAATAACTCAGCTACCTCACCAAACATCTTTGATGTAAGAAAGAAAACTGTCATATACGTTCTGCTGGAGGTAACATACTTCTTGCTTTTCTCGTGTAGGATAGAAAGAGTAATGTGAAACAGATACTTCCTTTGGGACACTTGTCTTTTAATATGAATATCTGGCAACATTCTTTACTTAATCATCTCCTCTGAAGGTCTGATTCAAGGTGAGAGGAAAGCTATTTAACTTTGCCATCATTCTTCATCATTATCTGCTCCGAGAATGGACAATATCATCATACACTGATGCAAAGAATCAAAGGATTCTATTGCATGGTTAAGTTTGCCTACTTTCCCTAAAAATGCAATTAATTTTGCCTAAAATGTCTTTTCTTTCCTAGATTAGGTTTAACTAAGAGTCTATATCATCAAAGGATTAAAACAAAGGAAGTACAATCCAAAATTGAGAACAGATTTGAAAATTGTTAAAAACAACTAGAAGTTAGAAAATGAGAAAGAGTTGACCTGGAAGAGCAAACAATGATGTTTTAGGACAAAGTGAAAAGAAACTAAGTTTATTGCCTAAAAACTATTGGGGAAAAAAAATAAAAGTTTGTGGTCAAAAAGCTTACCTTTCCAGTCAATGCTGTCTTGAACCAGGGTCATGGCAGAGGTAACAGAAAAAACAGAACAGATGTGAGAAGTATTTTGGAGTTGGAGTTAGCAGGATTTGGAGGTGGGCAAGTTTAAGGGGAGAGCCAAGGATGACTGTGGAATTTCAATCCTGGGTTGCTAGAGAATACTAATGTCATCAAGGCAGGCATAGGGGAAAGAAAGGCTGATTTTGAGTTAATAGGTAAAAAGGAAATAATCTACTCCACTTTAGTCACTTTTATAATATAAAATAAAAATTACAGGTAATGTACAAATCCACACTTTGGGGATTAGCTCAGCCTTTTGTGTTTGAGTATATATTTTTTCAGTTTCTATTAGTTTTGTTTTGTTTTATCAGCCAAGGAGGAAATGTGCTGTAGATAAATAATCAGTTTATACTAAAAGCAAATCAATGTCTGTAGGTGAACCGAGGAGCTCTAATCCCACCACAGCTAACATGGTGTCGTGAAAAAAAATTGACTGATAATCATCAAGAGGAATACTTTTATTGAGCCAGTTTTTTATTTTCATTTTCATCTTATGGCAAGATTACATCAAATTCCCTTATGAAACCTATGCCTATAACAGGCTTTGTGGTTTCAACCCAACATTTCTTTTGTTTTGAAGCCAGCATGAAAACCACACAGTTCAGACACTTTTTAGAATTCCATATTTTTCTTCCCAAGCTTGAAGCAGAAAATCAGTACTAATGGTCTGTGACTGATATTCCACATCTCTGCCTTTGTTTCTGGCAGCTCTTCTCCCTCCAACTTGGAAACATCAGCCACAGAATGTATTTAGCTGGATAATTGGTTCAGCAACAGTACAAATGGTGACTTGTGCTGCCTCTCTGGTTTTTCTTTTTTTCGGTCTTCTGTGCCACTTGGGTCACAGTGATTCTCCCTAAACTCAGAGTGGAAGGCAATTTGGGAGAAGCTCTGACCAGTGAAATCAGACACGCTTAGGTAAAAATCCTATTCCAGGCCTCAATTGTGTATTCTCCTCCAGGTCACTTATTCTCCTTAAGTTTAATTTTTCACACTTGCAAAATCGAAATTGGATTCTCTTCCTTGTGAAGTTAGCGTATTTGATGAGCGGCATAACAGTGGTTAACACTATGGGCCCAAGAAGCAGACGTCATATTCTGCCATATGGTTAGGTAGCCTTTGCCAGGTATCTCCTTCTCAGTTTGCTCCATAACATGGGGAAAACAAAGGCATCAATCCTATTCAACATTCAACACCCATTCACCAATGATGGGCCAGGCACTATTCTAGACTCCTAAAAGGTGATAGGATTATATGACATGATATATAGAGCAGTAGATGGTATTATTGTGCCCAGTTATAAGCTACCTCTCATGTAAGGATTTTCTGTATTCCCTACTCTTGCCAAGCTCCCTGTCCCTGGAGAATACTCCAGGCCTCATTATTAGGCTTAATCACGTGGTTCACTCTGACCGATGGACTTAAGCAGACATGATACATACCATGTCCCAACAGAAGTTTTAAGTGTGCTTTCTTTTTCCAACCCTCTGACTTGAGAACAGACTGTGTCAGATAGACACTTGGTCCTTCAGCCTTGGTCCCAGACAGGACACATGGAACAGAGATACACAGCTTGGGGCTACGTGGACTTATAAAGAGCTATGAACAAGAAATACATATTTTTGCTGTTATTGTTATATGCTAACCCACACACTTAAGAGCAAGAAATAAATGCTTATGGTTTCAAGCCACTGAAATTTGGCTTCCAAGAAAAGCTGACCGACACATAACATAGTACCTTGCATAGAGATGTACTTAATGTTTTAGCAATACTAATAACTAAAATATATAACAAAAGTATATAACACACTTAAAAAGATATAGACATCTCTCCATCTCTCCACCCATCCATCCAACAGATGTTTACTTAGTACTCTTAAGTACCACATACTATTTAAGCTGCTGGAGATAAGGCAGTGTGCAGGTAAAATCTCTGCTCTTACGCAGCTAACATTATTGTGGGAAAAACAGAAATTTAACTATATGGGGGATAGGCGTTATGGAGAAAAATAACACAGCAAAAGGAGATAGAAAATATCAGATAAGGAAGAGACTCTGTGTGAGTGTGTGTGTAGTGTTCAGAGAAGGCTTTGCTAAAGAAGAAACTTTTGAGCAGAGGCATAAATGGGTTAGAGAACTCCAGGACTAGCTGAGGGGCCTTGTACTTGAGAGAAGTCAAATAGAGGCACAGGGGTGGGGGCAAAGTCAGAGAGCTACAGGGGATCAGTTGTTTGCTCCTTGGGAGCAATTGGAAGAAGTTCAACTTTTGCTCTGAATGAGATAAGACGCCACGGGAAGACTGATGATCCGGTGACATAATCTTATCTAAGTCTAAAAAGGATCATTCTGGCTGTTGTTTTGAGAATAGATTATATGGCTCAAGGGTAGAAGCAGAGAGATTATTTAAAAAGCAACTGCAATAATCCATGCAGAGACAATGGTGGCTTGGGGGAGTAGTGAGAGCAATAAGACATAGTGGACTTTGGATATATCTGAAGCTGGTGGCTGACCAGATTTGTTAATGAAGAATAAGCAACTAGAAATAAATTGTCATTTACTAACATATGGAGGCGTGGAAGAATGGCAGGATTGAGGGGCAATTGGTAAGCAAGAATTTACTTTCAGACATTGAGAAGTAAGGGAAACTTGTTCAATTCTGACTTCCTTCTTCCTGGCTTTCCACAGAGGGACTGGCTTTCTGCAGAGTTCCGTGGAAACCAATACACACAGTGATTAAGATAATTAATCCTGCCAGAGTGATGAAGTGGAGGATCAGAGCTGTGTTACCTAACAAGGGAAAGAACTGGAATCCAGCCCTCTGATTATATCTGAGAAGAGGCTGGTACTCGTCTGACCAACAACACTATGGTGATAGAACAGGGCTGGAGGTTAAGTTTTCAGCATATGAAAGTGCTCTCTACATGGATCATTGCAATTGCTTTTTAAATTACCCAGTCCCTGATCTCTGATAACTCCAGCAAGGAGACTGTGCTCCCCCTTGTCAAGCAACTTAATAGCCTCCAGCCTCAGTGCCAGAATCATCCTCCAAGAACCTGATATCCAGTCCTACTAGATCACTATGCACTGCCCAGAATGATTTTTCCCTGGGATGTATTTGTTTCAGGTTATTTTCCCTGTTGTCTTTGAGATGCCTATCAGACATCTAAGTTGAGATGCTGAGTAAGTGCTCAGTACGTAAGTCTGGAGTTCAGCCGAATGGTTGAGGAGGGAGACAGAAATCTGGAAAACATGTATTAGTGTTTTAAAAGAAATCTAAAATATGGAGAGGAAATGGTTGAAAACAATCCTTAGGAATATTTAAAGCACAGCCTAAGAATAAAACTTCACTGAAGGTGATTGAGAGGTTAAAAAAGTCTCCAAAATAACTAATAGTAAGGCAAACAGTTTGGTTATTATAATCCCCCAAATATAATGAAATTACAGTTTAACTTCAGACGTGATTTCCTAATATTTTGCGTGTGAGGAGACATAAACACAACCGATCCAACCCTCTTTACCATGTTTTCAAAGATTTGAAGACTAATTACCAGCAAAGATTTACAGGAATTGTTTCTAGGGTTAATATATTTGAGAGAATAGAAATGAAGGTATTTTGGAATATTGATTTCTTTGGCAGTTTTTTCAAATAACAAGTTTGAAAATACTCATCTATTGAAATATTCTTCCTTACCAGGGTAGAGGGCACAGTTCATAAATGACAAATCATCAATTGCAATGTCTCCAGTGAAGCCATCTCCCACTGAAGCCTCCACCAAAATCTAAGAAAAACAGAAGAAATTTGCTGTCATTGGAGGAAATTAATTTACGGGATCTCATGGTTGTAAAGAAATTCAGAGTTTACTTAAAGAGAACTCTCTTCTGAACCATTAAAAAATACTTTGCAATAATCTCCAAAAGTAGGCACCTCGTCTTGACCTAAATTCTTCTAGTAACAGGAAGCTTCATACTTTATTGGGCCCATTATACCTATGAAGCCCATTCTGTTTACAATGAGTTTTGATTTTCTGAAATTTCAATACATCAGATCAATATCTAATTCCCTATAACTTTCAACCATGAGTTCTAGACTTGCCCTGTTTTCTTCCAATCTTTTAAGCATTTGAAGGCAAATTACTGTCTGCTTTCCCACCTATCCCTTGGTAGTTCATCTGTTTCCAAGCTTAAACCTCTTCATGCCTTAAGAAATCCAATTTGCAGCCAGAGGTGCTTCCTAGAATGTACATTTAAGAGCTGTAAAATTTTTCTCACATCGACCTTCTGTAACACTTTGTGAAAGTGGCTAATCGTTATTAGATCTCCTTCAGAACCACATTAATCACCGTGAACTCTGATGACACCCGTGCTGCTATAGGGGCTGCAATCCACCAAAACTCCAGCAAAAGATGAAATACTGACGAACCACTCTAGGACGTGGCAAACTGTGATTAGGGCTGAGATTTACTATAATGGAATTAATCATGATGAATCATTTTAATACTTATGCAAATAGGTTGCATACTTACTAGGAATTCCTTACTAGGAATTTAATAATGAAGAATTTTAAGCAAAATCAAACTTAAAAGTCATGTTCCTGTTTTCCACCATTTTATGTAAATATGTTTCAGTTTCATTTTTGCTCGCAAATGCTATATGTGGGAATGGAAATTTTACTTCATTTTTCAAATTCTATCTTCCATTAAAAGTGGTCTTGTACATTATTTATTGATGGGCTAGTTAAAGGAGAGAAAGTTTTAAAAGGTCAAATGACTGACCTCAAACCTGTGGACATCTTCCTCCAACTTTCTAGTCTTCCTTGAGGACGACTAGGATTTTCTCCCTGATTTGTCACTGAGGAAATGAATCACCTTGGGAAAGGTTTATTCATCTAACTAATGGGCAAATAGAGCCCACCTAATATGTCCTGAGAAACATTTAATGGTGCCATACAGGAAGGGTTTTGCTGCTTTGCAATGGATCACTCCAAACATAAAATGCATTCTTCTTTTCACCACCAGCGTGATTCAAACAAATAGTACAGTTAGAGAAAACAAAATGCAGAAAGAACAGTCAGTACAAAATCATACAATTCTTCTAATAAACAAAAGCCAGCAGTCAGAATTTGGCAAAACATACCGTAAGAAAATATCTTTTGTTTTATAGAAAAAAAGACTGAACTTGGATGAACAACAGTAAAAAGGCATAAGCAATGACTAATTAATTACTAATAAATTCCTTAGATCCATATATGTCTACCCCACTGCAATACAACATAGAACATGCTAACAAAAGGCTCAGAAGATGCAAGAAGAAAATGCAGATAAATAAGAATAAGCACTATTGACTTGGCTACATTGCTTATGATTATCTTAGTTTATTAACGAGAAGGGATAGAAAAGTGACATCAGAATCCCAAAGTTAATGGAAAGCATAGTGACTGTACATATAAATATCTGTATGCTAACTTTAGGGATATGTATAGTCATACATAGCTCCATTTGAGTGTGTAAACTCAGCTATTCCAAAGTATTTCTTTTGTCGTCTTTACGTAGTCACAAGTTAAAGAATTCACCATTTATGAAAATTAGAAATTTTCTCCTTTGTGGGCCACACCAGGTAAGCAGCATTTCTGAGTGGATGCTGTCTACACAAGGCTTATCTGTACTAGAGTTTACTTCACATTACATGATGAGCATTTTGATATTGCTTCTACAGCACTCAATGCCAACGGGAAGAGAGAAATAATCAAGACAGAAGATAGTTGGGTCTTGCTCTAAGGCACAATTTAATCATAATTTTTACCAAGATATCTTCAATTTCTAAACCCTCTAAATTTTAGCATGCTTGAGAAATAATGAACAACAGCTTCAAATTGAGATACTAAAAATGTCTAGTTGTATACATAATTGCAGTCTCAGCCTTGTTTGAATACTTAAGTAAGCCAGTCTTTTTTTTTAAAAAAAACCTACTTGATAACAAACCACATCTTGAGAAAAAGTTATGAATGTTAAGGTTTACTTCTACTTTTGTCCTATATTTAATTTAGTCTTGCAAAAAGCTTTGCAAATTATCCCCTGAAATTAGACCTAAGAAAACAGTCACAAAAAGACCAAACCAAAGTGTCTCTATTCTACAAAATTCACTTTCATTTCCGGTGTTTTTCCAGAATAAATGGAAGGATATTAAAACACAAACATTATTGCATGAAAGGCAGTATTGCCTTTCTGAAAATTACAGAAGCCAAATTTCACTCCTAAGTTTCATTAGTACTTTTCTGAATGACTTAAAGGGCAATTGAAAATCCAGCTTTGCTCCAAATGACCTGCATTACCTGTAGAGGCCAATTCTACTTACACCAGAAATATCACAGGCTTGGAAATCATGAAGGAATCCAGCTCCTCTATGTTGTTCTTTTCATGGACTCCTGCATGCTTCAAATAAAGATGGAGTGGACAACATTGTACAACTACATTGGACTTTCAGTTCTAATATAACCAAAGACTCAAATATGAATAAAGCTTTGGAGACTTGCCTGAACTCATTTTTCTGAATATTTAGGAAACTCTGAATTATTGACCAAAATGTTTAAATGATATGGAAACTACTGTCATCATGTATATGCAAGACAATTTAATCATAATTTTTACCAAAATATCTTCAATTTTCTAACATATATATTATAGGTTCTATTAACTCATAAGAAAGAAAAAATGGAATTAATTCAAACTGACACCACTTTTAAGTATCCTGTGTTTGGAAAAGAATAGAAAATTCCAATGTAATATATCAATTTTTAACATAATCCATGTTCAGAGAGACTCAAAAGAAAGGAATTCCTGTTTAAAATATAGAAAAAGCCCATATCCTGTGTGGAGCAACTGGGACTCCAAAGCATTGCTGATGGGAATCCAAAATGGTTCAGCCACTTGGGAAAATGGTTTGGCAGTTTCTTATAAGATTAAACATATATCTCCATATGATGTGGCAATCCTACAAGTAGTTATATGTTTACCCAAGAGAAATGAAGACACCTCTAAATGAAAACCTGTTTACAAAGTCCACAGCAGCTTTATTTATGACCTCCGACTGCTGGAAATAATCCAAATATCCCTCAACTGGTAAACAGAAAAGCAGCTTGTGGTAGATCTATACAATGAAACAGCTCTCAGCAATAAATGGGAACAAATGAATGATATGTGCAACAGTATCTGTGAATCCCCAAAGCATTATACCTTTGAAAGTAAAAGAAGCCAGATGCAAAAGTCTGTGTACTTTATCAATCCATTTATATGGCATTCTAGAAAAGACAGAACTATAGGGAAAGAAATCAGATTAGCGTCGCCAGGGGCTGGGGCAAGAGGGAGGGGATTGAGAACTTAGAGGAAGGGAAATCTGGGGGGATGATGGAAATATATTCTATTTTACTTGTGGAAGTGGTTACACGACTGCATAAGTTTGCTGAAATTCATAGAACCACTCATCTAAACAGGATGAATTTTACTTATATAAATTATAGCTCAATAAACAAGTAAAAATATTTATTCTATACTTATTGCCATAAATCATCAGTATCTCAAATATTACTTTACTATTTTTTAAATTGCTAATTTAATGCATCACATTTTATAATTAGTATATAGTAATCCCAAGTATCTCAATGTACTTTTCAATTCAGCTATGAAAACTCTTCTCTTGCTATCCACTAATAATTTTCCAGAGAACAAAGATTTATATTTTCCCTTATACTTCTTAAAGGTATTTACTTATTTCCATTTAGTATTCCCATAATTTAAAATGTAGATACAAAAAAAAACGAAAGAAATTATAAAAACTCTCTTCTAGCCTGTTTTCACAACTGACTAAAAGCTGAAGTAGTGAAACTCCTATAAACACAGTTGAATAACTATCCATTATTTTATCACATAACCTACAACTTTAGGGGCTCCTAGAAAGTCAACTAAAAATCTCAACCTTTCTAGGGTAATACTTAGGGAAATATTTGCTAGGTTCAACATAAAAAGATTTTAATCATGTTTGGAATTTTTTATATAACCCTGAAAACCATCTCTATGAAATAATACTCAAATTTTTGTCTGAGAAATTTTATGTTTCTAACTCCCTGTCTTTGGCCATATCACATACAAAAAAGCATAGAATAATTAGAGTCTTCCAATTATTACACTACACTTATGAAAACCATTTATCATTAAACATGGGCCATACAAACTATATCTAAAGTGTGCATGCACTGAGCACAGAAAGGGATAATAAAAATAAAATTGTGGCACTAGCAGAGATGAAAGAAAATGCTAGGACAGATAAGTAGGGCAAGTACTACAAAAGAATTACTTAAAAGAAAAAATCTGATGTCTACCCCATCTGAGTGCCTATTTTGGGCAAAAATCATGGCAAAATTTTTGTTGATCTTTTGGTATTATACTGTATTTCTTCTTAGCTAATGTCAGGCTTTATAATGTATGGCTTGCTAAGACTTTTTGATCCTTCAATGAGTGTCTACTTTGCCATTGTGCCAAGTGTTTCCATGGTTACCAAGGAGAAAAAAAAAATGTCATCCCTTTCTTCCAGCTTCTCACCATCTAGGACAGAGAGGACTAAATTGTGACAACTTTGCTCCCAGGAGTTTAGTTTAACCCAGTCAGTGCTTTCAAGTAGAACAGGTTGCCAATATTTTAAAAGCAGGATGTTTCAAAAGAAGATATGGTCCCTAAGTTGCCACAGTCCCCGTTACTCCCTATTGTACAACTACCTCTAAGGCTGAGTG